GTTTATGAATGATGAACTATTATATAGTTACTATGTTATTGGTGGTTAATAACCATCTTATATAAACTTAGGGGCTTCTGTATAAGACATATATATATATATATATATATATATGTATAAGAAATATATATATATATGTGTGTGTGTGTGTATATATATATATATATATATATATATATATATATATATATATACACACACATATATATATTGGGGCCGGCCAAGTGGCGTGTTGGTTAAGAACTGGCATGGGACGCCAGAGGGCCCCAGTTCCTTTGGATCCCACATATGAGGGCCAATGATGCTGCCCTCTACAGCTAAGATGCTGAACAACAGCTCAGCCTGGATCTGGGTTGCTGTGAGTCACTGGCAATGGCATAGGCTGCAGCCCCTGCTGCAGTGGGTTGTCATGGGCTACCGTGTGTAGCCAGCAGCCAGCGTGAGCGGCCCTCAAGCCGCTGTGAGAAGGCGACCAGAAGCCGGTGACTGATCTGCCTTGCCTGGGAAGAGCGCAATGATGGTGCCAACTTGGGCCAGGGAAGCAACGTCCTCCACAACTAGACTGAAGAACAAAAAGACAGCAACTTGTCTGTTCCCCTTCCCCAATTCCCCAATGAAAAAAATCTTTAAAAAAAAGAAATATATATATAGAGAGAGATATAATACATGCATAGGGAGAGAGATAATAATGTACATTCAGTAGGAGTTTGCTTGTCAAGTAGGTGAAAGTTAATGTCAAGCACATAAAATAAGACATCCAGTGACTGGAAATACTCAAAAACAATATTGGAATGTGTGGTAGTTTTGACTTGTCATTAATTGTGGGAAAATGTCCCCCTTATTTGGGGGAAAGATTTTGCTGGATCTTGCTACTTGATGGAAGAGTTTATTGGGTTGTCAAAAAAGTCATGATGCATGTTTGCAACAGATGGCACTAGTTCATTTTTGAAAGTACTAGTCTTTTGCATCTATGTTATGGCTATGTCACTTGACAGCTGACAGTTCTAGCTTCATTCCAAAAAAAAAATGAGCAATTTGGTTGAGTTTTGGAGATTTTACAACAAGTTTAAGATGGAAGATCAAACTGTGCATTTTTGCCATATTTTACTGTTTTACTTCCATAAAGGGAAGAACATGCATCAAGCTTGTGGAAAGTTGGATAAAGTTTATGGTGACAAAGTTCTACAAGAACGTCAGTGCCAACAATGGTTCACGAAATTCCGTGCTGGTGGTTTTGATCTCAATGATGCTCCTTGGTCAGGGAGGCCCACCAAGGTTGATAACGACAAAATAAAGGCATTGATCGAGTCAAACCCATGTTACATGACGTGAAAGATTGCAGAAACACGGAGCATCCATCATTCAAGCATTCACGACCACCTGAAGAAGCTGGGATACATAAGCAAGCTCGATATTTGGGTTCCGCATCAATTCAAAGAAGTTCATTTGACAGTGTATAAACATCTGCAATATGCTCATTAAATGTGAGGAAAACGATCCTTTTTTCAAGTGACTGATAACTGGTGATAAGAAGTGGATTGTTTACAACGATGTGGTGTGCCAAAGGTCTTGGTCCCTATGTGATGATTCGCCTCAAATCACATCGAAAGTAGACATTCATTAGAGGAAGGTTATGCTCTCAGGGTGGTGGGATTTTAAAGGTGTCATGTTTTTCGAGCTCCTACCAAGGAACCAAACAATCAATTCGCATGTGTACTGTCACAATTGGACAGTTTGAACAAATCCATCATCCAGAAGCGCCCAGAGCTTGTTAATTGTAAAGGACTTGTGTTCCATTGCAACAACATGAGAGCACACACAATTTTGATCACCCTTCAAAAACTATTGGAGTTTGGATGGGATGTGTTGCCACACCCACCATTCTCACCTGACCTTGCGCCGTCAGACTTCCACTTGTCTTGCTCTCTTCAAAACTCCTTGCATGGTATAACATTCAATTCAGATGAGGCTGTAAATCAGCACCTTGTTCAGTTTTTCATAAATAAAGACAGGTCCTTTTATGAACAAGGAATTGTGAATCTCACTGAAAGATGGCAAAAGGTTATTGAACAAAATGGGCAATATATCATTGATTGACCTTTATTCTTTATATAAATAAATGGCTTTTGAAAAATGTAGGCAAAATATGTCATGACTTTTCCGACAACCCAATAGAAGAAATAGAGTTAGTAAGGGTCCAAGCCTGAACTAATGAGCAAAACTAACAAGAGAGTAGATGAAAATGAGAATAGTAAAAGCCTTTCAAGTAAGACTGAAAACTCAAATCTTCATAAGTGAAAAAGGGCATCAGTATATGGAAATGAAGAGGTATAATATAGATGTTGTTGGAGTATTTCATATAGTGAATTTGGTAAAGAAATTTAAAGAAATAAAATTATTAAATATGAGGTATGACAATTTTGAGAACTTGTTGCAATGATATTGCTAAACGTTTTTGATATCAGAGGGATTATTCATTATGAATTTGTATCAACTGGACAAACAATTAACCAAGTTTGCTATTTGTAAGTGCTGAGTTGCTGCATGAGAAAGTTAGATCACCTGACCTTTTTGCCAACAATTCGTGGCTCTTCTATCACAACAATGCACCAACTCACATGACACTGTCTGTGAGGGAGTTCTTAGCCAGGAAACAAATAACTGTATTCGAAGACCCTCCCTACTCACCTGAGCTGGCCCCCAGTGTCTTCTTTCTTTACCCAAAGATCAAGGAAATATTGAAAAGAAGATATTTTGATGACATTCAGGACATCAAGGGTAATACAAAGACAGCTCTGATGGCCATACCAGAAAAAGAGTTCCAAAATTGCTTTGAAGGACGGACTAGGTGCTGGCATCAGTGTATAGTTTCCCAAGGGGAGTACTTCGCAGGTGACCATAGTGATATTCACTAATGAGGTATGTAGCACATTTTCTAGGATGATATCGTGAACATAATTGTCAAACCTCATAGAGTAGAAAATCTCTCCCTAGTTTTATCTGTTCTCATGTTAATTTTTTTTAATTGGGGAATTGGGGGAAGGGGAACAGACAAGTTGCTGTCGTTTTGTTCTTCAGTCTAGTTGTGGAGGACATTGCTTCACTGGCCCAAGTTGGCA